GACAAGAAGAACCGGGCGCGAAAATTATCCACCCGTCTGCAAGCTGCTGATGCGTTACCATAGACTAAAATTAACTGCTTTTAAATATACTTCTATTCAATGTTGCCAGCTAATGACTATGAAAACTTACCATTCATGATGAGAACGACTTGAAACTCGACTAATGTTTTTAGTTCTCTATTAATAATTTTCTTGGTCGAAGACCTATCTAATTATATAATAAACGACAAAACAGTTTCAGGGGTAAGGTCGTAGTGGCGGTGTCTCTGGACATCGCCAACGCCTTCAACTCCCTGTCCTGGATCTGCATCTTGGAGGCACTCCGATATCATCTGGTGCCTACCTACCTCCGTCGTGTAATCGAGGCATACCTGACGGACAGGTCTGTCATATACCCATACCCCGGTCACCGGGGCGAGTGGAACCGGCGAGAGATGTCACGCGGTGTTCCACAGGGTTCGGTTCTAGGGCCGCCCAGTCATGGCCGATGTTCCGGGAACATCGGCTATGACTGGGTGCTGCGCACCGACCTCCCGAACGGCGTTAGCTTAGCACAATATGCTACGCCGACGACACGCTGGTGTTAGCGCATGGGAGGTCGCACCAGGCGGCGGCCGATTTAATGGGTCGCCATTAAAGCGGTTGCGACAGTCGTTGAAAGAATCTGGCAGTTGGGACTCGAGGTGGCGCTCCACAAGCCCGAGGCCATGTGTTTTCATGGCCGCGGGAACGCGCCGCCTCCGGGTGGGTCCCAAATAACGGCGGTCCATGGCCCTCTACGGCGCCCCTGTGTGGGCGCCGAACCTGTTGCGGTGTCCCGCTCCGACGCTGCTCATGGCACAGAGGATCATGGCGATCCGAATGATCCGCGGATACCGCACGATCTCAGGGGAGTCGGCGAACCTCCTTTCCGGATTACCGCCGTGGGATCTGGAGGCGAAGGTGCTCGCGCGCGTGTATCGCATGCGCGCGGGGGCACGTCGCCGGGGCGAAACCCCGCTGCCGCGAGAGATAAGTGCGTGGCGGGATGAGCTCCGGCGCGATCTCATGGCGGAATGGCAGCAACGACTGTTGTAACCGAGGGCTGGGCTCGCTGCCATCGCAGCGGTAAGTCCCCTCTTTGAGGAGTGGCTTGAGACACGCTACGGCGTCCTCACCTACCGCCTGACGCAGGTCCTCACCGGACATGGGAGTTTCGGGAGGTACCTGTGTCTGATGGGGCGGGAGGAAACGTCTGAGTGTCATCATTGCGAGGACCGCCCTGAGGACACGGTGGAACACACTGTAGCGGAATGCCCTGCATGGGCTGAGCACCGCCGTGCTCTCAGGGAAGTGATCGGCGATGGCGACCTCTCGCGTCCGGGCCTAGTACAGTACTAGGCCCGGACGCGAGAGGTCGCATTATGATGCGATGATGATGCGGAGCGAGAGGGACTGGGATGCCGTCTCCTCCTTTTGCGAAGCAGTCATTCTAGCTAAGGAGGAGGCGGGACGCGTGAGGCAGCGAAGCGCTGCCTCCTCGCAACCCAGCCATCGCGAAGGACACACCGGGCGTCGGGGATCGCGGGACGATCTCCGGCCACCGTAAGCGCGGGCCTGCGGACGGGAGCATGGGTGGCCCCCCCCGTCCGACCAGAAACAGACCCGAGCGTACGGCGCGTCGCGTTCCGCGCGCGCCTCATAGAGCCATCTGACCACCACAGATGGGGCCCAATAGGGCCGATGCCGATTCGGAGTCGCGGAGAACCTAACGGGTAACCGGGGCTTCGGCTCGACGTGCAGGAGAAGGAACGGGGTGGTTTTTAGTCAGTAAGAGTCTGACACTCCCTCCCGCCTCACCCAGGCGGGAGCAGTCATTCGATGATTTTCCCCCTTAAAAAAAAAGGGTGGCGTTACTACCGCAAGAATTTGGATTTTAGTTATTCGAGTAGGTTTGTAGATGCACGTTTACATAATCATGCTATTAGTTTTATGACTGATGTTTAAGATATTCCTACTGTTGTTCATAATTTTTTTACCAAGGTTTTAACCGATATAAATAAATGTTCAAAAATGTTTCGATTTTCATTTATTTTTATTTACAGCATTATCAATTAAATTATTTAGGAACACTGCTTTATCTGCTGTTGATCTTAACTTGGAAAATTGACTCCAGGGTACCTGAAATTAGTAAACTTACTTTAGTCCCAAAGTAATTTTATAAGTACAAGAATTGCATACATATGATTGGTAGGTACCAATAATGTGGGAGAAAGAATTAAAAAATAGAAAAACGGTTCATGAAAATTAATAGACAGAAACCAGCTGATGACTATGAAATATGTAAGCAATGACATATGAGTTCTGACAGTTAAAATAAATAAACTAAATTAAAAATACTCACTAATACTCCATGATAGCCCAATGCTTCAAGTTCTCTTACTTTACTAGTAAAGAACCCAGTTGCATTGTCTGTACCGTGTATTATTGCATTTCTACCTGCTATTACCAATACTATCCAAGTCTTATCATCAGGAAGCTTTCTCATTAAACCAAAGTCTGATGGCGGGAAAACACCTTTGACTGCAACAGGAGCACCACTGTGGTCATTGCAAATTATTATATCTGAAAGGGAATAAACTAGATTTATTAATCAATATAGCATTAAAGCAATGCTTGCATGCAATAACTAGAATATTGTATCAGCACTAGCGTAATACTAGTCTACTGACACTAATAGTTAAGACATATGGCAACACTAAACCAAAACCAGTTGAGTGCGAAGCAGACAAGAAAAACAATTTAAACTAGACTAAGTACTTACCTCCTCTTTGATAGTGAGGCAAGATATGGTCACCAATGACATAATCGTCACCTCCACGAGCTTCTTTCAGTACCTTCAATATATCCAAAAACATTTGTTCAGTTATATTGTACTGTTTCACATAATCCTCCCTTGGCACATAATCTGTGTACTTTTTGGCTAAAATTTTCTTCTCTTTATTTTCAAGAAAATTGATGTTGGCATCACTACAAAAGATTTCAGCCACATTGTTCAATGTTAAAATTTCTCTCCCATAGTTAAAGCAGTACTTCCCATAAGTCCGTTCTCTAAATTCTGGAGTAAGAACCCTACTTATTAGGTCCACTGGGTAAATACCTAAAAGAGTTAGATATGCTATGCAACATGCAAATGACCTGCCATGTATGCTGATCTCTATTATTCTTTCAGGCTTCCTTAATTCATCCATTACTTTGGTGAAGAAACATTCTTCTGTGTTAGGTCTTAACCCAAATGTGCCATATGTTAAGACCAATCTTTCAAGATCCTTCACCCTTGTTTGGGACATAGTTTTTATAACCTTTGCAGCAATATTATCTAAACATTGTTTGTGTAAACTTAAAGTAGAAGTTCCAACTAGAGCCATATGTACATTACACATTACTGATAATCGTGGAACTTCAGACTGCAAAGCTTCTAGTAGGCTGTTTATTCTATCATCAAGGACTGACTTTGTGGAGTAACGAATTAGTTTCAATAAAGCTGCTAAAGATACTTCATGAATAGTTTTTGAATTTTCTATAACTGTGGCGATAATTTTCTTTACTAATTCAGGATCCCTTATTGGTGTTTTGCTTTTAAAATATCCCATAGATATTATCGCCAATTCATCAATAGTAAATTGGGAATATTTTTTGTTTATCTCAACTTCCAAATTGTGCATGTCAAATGGTGATTTTCTCCATATTCCAATAAAGAATAATGTGTGCACAAGCTGAGCTGGTGTTAAATTTTTTGCTTTAGAAGCCAATTTTTGCAAAGCTTTTACACAATAGTCACTATATCTTATTACATTTATCATGTAAAACAGTGATAAGAAAGTTAGTAACTCATCATATGACCAATTCTTCAGCCGATTTAAGCACTCATCATCCAATGCTGCCCACACTTCTATAATGTTTCGCGTTCTGATAGATGGTGTATCTGGCCACTTATTTAGAGTGTAGAATAAAGTTTTTAACTCTTCATCAGTACCCAGTTTGATACTGTCAGTGAGACTGTCTATGTATGTATCAAATATCTGGTTAGAAATACATAATTTGTGTTCTGAACAATATAGAGCAAATTTTAGAAAATAATCAAATAATTCTGCTTGAGATTTTTTAGACCAATTACATTTAAGAGCTTCTTGAAATTCTTGTTCACTTATACAATTTCGAGAAATATCACTTTTCAAGCTAACGGCATACCCTTTCTTCTCTAATATACTATATGCATAATTATTTTCATGTTCCAGAAACATTCTCCCGCACAAATGTGAGCTACAATGAATTCGACGTCTGGAATATTTTTGTAAACTGTTAAGTGCCCCTATATTAGATCGGTATTTAGGCACGGTGAAATTTCTTACAATCCTCACTAAGAAAGACATTTTGAAAGCAACAGTACTTATACTTTCACACACTTTAGTCAATAATTTAATTGTTTTGATGGAATTTTATCTTAGAAAACATTTTAGATTCTACTCAACATTGACAGAAATCACGATCACATTGGAATGACAGTGACAATGACAATCTTATTTTATAGGTTATGTTTTTTACTTTTTTGCGAAAAATTACGATTTGGAACGGCTCTATTTGAGACTTTTAAGCCGGAATACTGAAACGTTACTCAATTTTAAGTCGTGCTTAAATATCATGCCATCTCTGTCATTTCACAAATAATTAGTGGTGACAGAACTATACTTAAGCGTGACTTAAAATTGAGTAATGTTTCAGTACTCAGGCATTAATGAGATAATTATCTTATTTACTTTCATTATTATGTTATTTATCTAAATATCTAATTATTATATTATTATATTAAATTGTAATAGATGATTAGCGGTACACAAATAAAACAATATCAAAAAAAGTTTTTGTTTGTGAGTGAAAACAAGAACAAATCTAGTCACAAAACTTTTAATAAATTACTGTAAAAACTTATAAAAGATGGTAAATTACTTCGTAAACAAATATTAATCATCGTTATCTTTAATAAGTTCTAATGAACTGTCTCCACATTGAACCCAATGCTCAGATTGCTCCCAACAGCCAAAATACCGTGGTTTTAGATATAAAAGTTTTATCTCCTCTGCCCGACCTAGACCTGGAAGTGGTACAGGCCGGATTTTGTCTTCGGCTTCCCTTTGGGATCCTAAGTATAAGTACTTGTCAGTCCATGTTGCCCATTTTTCCTGCATAAAAAGTATAAGTTTATTAGGAGGGTATTATCGCTTACTTGTCTATCAAATCATCGGGTCATTTTTTTACTAAGGGGGGAAAATCATCGAATTGTAGGATATAGCTAAGGTACAAGATAATATACATAACAAATACTTACATAAAACATACACACATACACTCACATTCATACCATAACACTTAAAACTTTACAACATTTGTACACGGCCTTATGCTTCCGCACGTTCGTACACACCCTTAGCTATACCTACACACGGCCCGGCCGCTAGCGGAGCCCCGGCCCGCGTTGATGGACTCGGACGCCTCGCGTGTTCGCGGAGCCGCCCGCTCGACACATCGAGCGCTGTCGTCGCCGTCGCCTCCCCGCGCTCAACCCGCACGCGCCCCCTCGCTCGCCCACACAGTCCGCCACGGCTAGCGATCGCGCGCGCATCGAAATTATTATTCTCTTCTCGTTTTGTATAACCGTAACTTTATTTGATCTCATTATTGTATATTTATTTCTTATTTTAATATATAGACTTTATAACGTTAGTGCATTAGTTTTATTTATCTCGATAAACCTAATGATTTTTTTTTTTTTAAGGGGGGAAAATCATCGAATGACTGCTCCCGCCTGGGTGAGGCGGGAGGGAGTGTCAGACTCTTACTGACTAAAAACCACCCCGTTCCTTCTCCTGCACGTCGAGCCGGAGCCCCGGTTACCCGTTAGGTTCTCCGCGACTCCGAATCGGCATCGGCCCTATTGGGCCCCATCTGTGGTGGTCTGATGGCTCTTTGAGGCGCGCGCGGTACGCGACGCGCCGTACGCTCGGGTCTGTTTCTGGTCGGACGGGGAGCCACCCATGCTCGCCGTCCGCAGGCCCGCGCTTACGGTGGCCAGAGATCGTCCCGCGATCCCCGACGCCCGGTGTGTCCTTCGCGATGGCTGAGTTGCGAGGAGGCAGCGCTTCGCTGCCTCACGCGTCCCGCCTCCTCCTTAGCTAGCATGACTGCTTCGCAAAAGGAGGAGACGGCATCCCAGTCCCCCTCGCTCCGCATCATGGCCTGCACTAGGCCCGGACGCGAGAGGTCGCCATCGCCGATCATTACAAATCATTGGGTCATAGGAAATCAATGCAGGAATATTTGTAATTTTGAATAGAGTTCCAAATATTTGTACATGTAAGACTCCGTGCTACTACTGAGAATTTTTTAAAAACCCAGTAATACTTTGCCTGACCCGAGACCCCTTGCCCGGCAGTCGTACTTGCGACCACTCGGGTAACGAGGCAGTCGAGGCGGTCGAGGCAGTCAGTCAGAATCACAAATTAGTTGGTGGGTAGGTACCGATTATTTAAGGAAGATTTTTTTAAGGGGGCAAAATCACCCAATGACTTGTCCCGCATTGGGTGAGGTAAGAGGGAGCGCCAGACTCTTACTGACTAAGAACCACCCTGTTCCTACTCCTGCTCTACAAGCCAGAGCCCCGGCAACCCGTTAGGCCTTCCGCGGCTATATTTAAGGAAGATATGTTGGTCATTACCTACTGTGTATGTACCTTGCTCACATTGATAAATAGATGAAACATGTCGTTTCAATAATTAAGTAGGTAAGTATAAACCTAAGTACATACCTTTTCTGTGTGCTTTATAAATCGTAATTCGATACATTCTGCAACACGTCTTTCGAATGCATCATCATTACAATTCTTAATGCTAGACATTATTGTAAAAGGCCATTTTTTATAGGAACTGTTTAGTTCTTTTATGTTGTGACGCCAAAGACTCCAGAATATCTGCGAAAAAGAATTTCTGGATGACTGGTTTAAGTCGTGAGTTCAATACTTTGAGAACTTTTCTCAGGGCCTAAAATGCACAGACGAGAATCTTCGGTTTGCGGGTTTGCCTGACATCACGGATTCTGCTAATCCTCTTGGTCTGCTTTTTGAATAAATCGAAATAGTTTATATTGGATCTAAATTAACAATATTTTTAATCAGATATAAGTAGTTGAGACAAAGACTTCAGACATCTTTTTCACATTCCTGAATCAATTTTATTCTCAGCGGATTAAGGCCCCTCGTCTGTACAGGCCCCAACTGGTAGGGCAGGTTGATACACTGTATGGTATCCATTATCCAGATCTCTCATTTAGCACAATCATTTGACTAGATACTTTTAGTTATCTAATGCAATAAAGTTTAAAAATTCAAATAAGTTGTAATTTGACTTACGTTCCTTTTCGGCATATCAAGCAATTCAAAATATCGGACACCATCATTAATGAACGTAGCTTTTAAAATTTGTTTTCTCGTTTTTTTAAACACTGATATCTTAATCGACTCCCATGGGTACATGGAAAGGATTTCTATGACACTCGACGCTCTGCAGAGTGGAGAACCTCCGCGCGAAGTCGTTTGTTTACCCATAATATCATGTTCATACGCAATTATAAATGCTCTTGAGGTTAAACCTTAAAATTCACAAAATAAGATGATATACCTAAACAGTCCGTCAAGTGTAAAAATTACGATAGATAGGTACGCCTCTTACTTTTGTTCAAATACCTAAATTAAACCAAGTGCTCGAATTCGAAGTAGGTACGTTAATGTATGGAATGTGTTTGTCAACTTACCGAGCTGCACTAAACGCAATATATCTTTGCCATCTCTAGTTGTTTCCCTAAAGGGACTCTCAACTAAAATTGTATCATTAAATTCTCTATATTCACTGGTAATTAATTTTTTGATCGTTCCAAACAACATAATGAAATGTGGTTCGTTGATATTAATCTAAAATCGATCAAGTTATGAATTAATTCATAAACTTAAATAATATTTACAGAATAAAGTCATTGTTTGCAGTTAGGAGACATTATAAGTCTGACAGTGCTTATGACAGTAGACAGCAATGAGTGACTTTGGTTGATTATTATTTTTAATACCAATTTTAATTTTATTTAAGTATGTAAGAAGTTTGTTTAGATATCCGTATTGCGCGTGTCCATAGGTGGCGTTGATCGCTTACCATGCCATCAATCGATACGTCTTTCTATTTGTTTGCTTTTGTCTTCCAAATTTTTTCGTAAAAAAGAAATATAGAATCTCGTCTATGTGCATTTTTTTATAAAAAAATATCGCTATATCGATAGATCGTAAACATGGCATCGTGAAATTCTAAAATCATTTTTATTGAGATTTCTCACCGTATAGGTGATTTAAGTTAATTATGCGTAGTATACAGATGATTAAGGATGTACGTCCGTCCGTTTAGCATAAAAGTACAAGGACGAACAGAACACGGAGATTGGCGATTGATTACTATTGTTTACCAACTCACTGTCGCTAGAAGTCCAATATTATAAAATCAAATGACGTAGGCACAATAAATAAATAAATAAATGAAGTAGATTTTAAACCAGCATTTATTATGACTTAGGCATTCCACAGATATACATAATTGATTTAACCCATAATTACACATCGTTTCGGGACTAAAGACATTATTTATCTAATATATCGACACAATTTCTTTATACCTATCATAAAATAACACATACATACTTAATAGTAGTTACATGGTCCTTACATTTCAGACGTGGCACTACACTAAACACTTACATTTTCAAAATCATAAATTAATCACTTAACTAACTTTGGTCGACTATTTAATTTCTAACCAAATGTCCTACATTTCACTAGATGTCTAAAATTAAAATCGTTATACATTTTATTAAAAAAAAAAATTAGGTTGAATCCTCATCGGCTGGCATCGGCCTGGAAGAAAAAAAAGCAGAATTAGACATTAGAAAAATGGTCCCGATAAAAGGGAGTGGATAGAGAGACACATAGATAAGACACGTAAACAACCATCACCTATAAAACAGTTAGTTTAAAACGTGTTGCCATGCATCTACAACATCAATATTGTATTATGGTGCACTTTAAAAATAAAATCGTCTAAAAAATTAATTAAACCGTCTCACTATTTGAGCTTTGTAACGGAGACTTTCGGTATTGATATACAAGGCGGTAAAGGCAAAAGATTATGCCCATATCTAGCATGAAAGATTTTATCTACGGAACAACCACAGTCTTCGGTAACATTAGGACCTCTATAGATATTTCCTTGATCCTGAAAAACGATTAGCATTTTCATATATTTGAGTAAAGCTATTAAACATATAATATGTAGCTCCGCTACCTCTCTGTTATCATCTGTCTGTTCGGAAGCCAAAAGTTTTTTAAGAGTAAAATTTAAATCTTCCTAATGCAACTATTGATTGTAATCCCGATTGAATGACTGACAAATTCAACAAATCGTTGTAAACGAATCAATAATGACGTGAACTAACATTGTCTCACAAAATAAAATCATCGCATGAGAACAAAAATGATCGAAGTTGTTATTGTTATCAATATCACCAACGGTATGAATTACAAAACACGTCCCTGGTACGACCGCCTAAACAAACTCACACAATAGGAGAAACTGGCGGTCATAAGACAAGTAGATATATAACAGTATCTACTATCTACATAAAGGCAAAGAGAAGAAATGCTGGGTCTTCTTATAAGAATGAGCTTACTATATCGGGATATACCAGCTCTCATTGTACCTAACTATATAGTAATAACTGATAATCTATGAATGTAGCTAGTACCTACAAATATTAATAAAGATTTAAATTGCATCATCCTACACGTTTTAGCATTTAATGAATCTATAATTTTATAGCATAGAATCAAAACACGTGAATTTACATAACAATTTCACTTTCATTTTTATGATTATTATTGTAATATAAATATAGCCTGATAATCTGAATGATATAACAGTACTTACCAGTGCTTCAGTCTTCTTACGTAAATTCGATCTAGATAGCGTCATAGCCAGTTCTGATTGTAACCTATTGGATATAGAGGTTTCTTCGTCTCCATTGTGAAGTCCATCTGTTTTATCTACTCCATTAAGGAAGTCCAGTTTTGTAGGTTCCCGTCTAGTTGCACCTCCATATGCATATTCTCCGATTGTTACCGACACGGGACGAGCGTGCTTCTTCATCGTTGCTGTACCATTCGGAGCTTTAACAAAATAATTTGACGGTGGCTTAGGCAGTACATTCGAAGGATTCTTTAACTTATAAGATTCTAGTGACTCCATATCAGCCTTTTCGTCTTTCAAATTTTTTATTTGTGGCGCTGGAGGCTCTGTTTTCTTAATATAATCTGGAGTGGGAGTTCTAGTCAGGGTGCCATTTTTTCTAAAATTTGGATTCGATAGAAGTTCAGAAGTTATCGTTTTGGGAATCGGTTTTTGGTTCTCTATAACCTTATTGGTGCCATTAGTTCCATTTTGATGACCATTCATTCCATTTTGGTGACCATTAGTACCATTCGTAGTCGGCATCTGAAAATAGGTAAATGGAACAATTATTGTAAGACTGCCTCGTTGGCCGAGTGGTGGCAAGTGCGACTGCCGGGCAAGGGGTCTCGGATTCGAATCCCGGATCGAGCAAAGTATTATTGGGTTTTTATAAATTGTCAGTAGTAGCACGGAGTCTGGAATTGTGCCCAGTATATGGCAATAGGTTCACCCCCTATTACATGGGACTCATAACATAAATAGTGAAAAGTGGGTGTTACATTGTACAGTGGCAAAATGTACACCTCTGCCTATCCCTTCGGGGATAAACGGCGTGATGTTATATGTAATTATTATAAGACAAGTGTTAATGGAATAGAAACCACATTTTACTAGTTTGGTTATTACTCAAAACGAGTCATCTTCAGGTAATTATTATTAGTTAGTAAAGAGCATTCAATGTCAAAATCCATCAAAAACAAAACATATTTTCAACCGTGCTATATGATATGATATTATCCGCAAGTAAAATAAATAATACATCACAACATCATTATGGAGACGACCTCAACCTCAAATGAAGGCTCCGACAGTTAGGACCTAATGACGTGCAAAACTGGTTTAAATAGAAACAACATCATAACATAATAACATTACAAAGAGCAAAAGCAACATGATTCTCCACGTAAATTAATTATTTATCGATCAATGAAACTTGTTTCATTTGCTATCACATGATATTGGGCTACAAATTGCTGTGATGGCAGCAACTACAACAGAGTAGAATACTTCTGCCAAATGTTAGGTTCTCCGCGACTACGTATAGCTATAGCATCAAATTAAAAATGATATAAATAATTTTCTTATCTAAGGTTTCTTTTTATCTTGTTTAGTTTTGTTTGTTATTTTAATAATGCTTCACTCAATAGTAGTCTTTGTTTTATCCAAAAAATGGTGATATAATATAGTAATAATAACACACTGATTGACACAATATTTTAGAAGCAGAGCTTAGGATATCTAGTGTCAATCACAAATCACGCAGTTAGATATATCGAACAGATTGATAACAATTAGATGAAGACATTTACTCTAAATTAAACCTAACCTGCGCAAACGAGAGACGATTTTCCACTGTGGAAGAAATTCAATGGATTATAAGAGAGGACTTGATTAACTACATGACATTTTATCCTTAGTCTTTATTTATACTTGATGGGCCGACGTTTGACCACTATCTCCCCTGATGGTAAGCGATGATGCGGTCTACGATGGAGCACGTCATCCCATAAGCAACCTATTCACTCGGGCCTGGGGGTCACCCAGGTTACAGGGTATACGGACTCTGGCAAAGAATTCCACTCCTCAGCAGTCCGCACGAGGAAGCTTGATGCGAAGTGCTTCGTGCGTGTGGGTGGGAATCTACCATCAATCGTTGACTATCATCATCATCATCAGTTATATTTTGTAAGTAGGTACCACAGATTTATTAATATTTCTGTGGCAAGTACCTATCTACGTGAATTACAAAATAACTCCAATCGTCTCTCGTCTGCGTAAGCTTTTAAGTTCAATTAGGTACTTATTTACTCACAGGCGGTGGAGGTGGAGGATTGTCCGTAGTTTCCTTCTTTGATGGTACATGGTTGTTATTGGTCACCTCTGGTGCTGGCTCTGCCTTCCTCAAAGGCAGGGTCTGCTGACGATCCTATACACAAAATTATAAATATTTAGTTAGGTAAGTAGGTAAACACATATAATTTGAACACCATCACCACCAAAGATAGATAGGGACCTATCTACCTTTATCCTATTGATTTCTAGCTGTTTAGTCTCGACATTGATAACTACAAAAACCGGTCACCAAGTCGTGAATTTTTTTTAATTTTTAATAGGCTTTCCCCCTTTATTATTTTCTTGTGAAGTCTCACCATCAGAACAGATTGAAGACAAATTGTATTAACATTTAGTGAAATAATATTGTTTTTAAAGTTTCATAAATAGAACCCTATTTCTTCTTCCAGCATCCATTACCTACTATGTTAGTTGATTTTAATAGAACAATACTGATTTAGTATTGGTACTTTAAGAAGGCATATACCTCTAATGTTTACCTTATGTTACGTAAAACAAAATGAAATATTTCCATCCCATTACCGCAAAAAAATAACCAGCCAATTTTGCGGTAAAATAAGTGGGAAAACGCCAAATGAACTAATCTAATCGGCATTGACATTGAACTTTGACCAAACATATAATAACCATTAGGCAAAGGAAGTAGGTATTGGAATTAGAGGCTAAACAGCAAAAAAAAGGAACTAACGATCATCTATGAACGTGAACAAAACTGAAGGCTATGTTTTAGACTATTACAGTACAAACGCATTATAACTACACAATG